ATCCATCTATCCATCTTTTCCTTGGATGTAAGTCTATGTTTTAAGTATTTCAAGACCTCAATTCATTGACACTGATGAGACCTTTTTGTAAAGCAAGTGCCGTGCGTAAAACTTTGAACTTCTGGGTTTATATAGTCCATTTGTGTTGCAGGTGCCGTAAAACTCTTTTTAAAGCTAAAGTTAACTCTGGTAACACTTTTAGTCTTCTGCACTTATTTGACCTATTTGTATGGCTAGTGCCGTGCGACGTACTTTAATAACTAAAATAAAGGGTAGTATCACCTCTTATCTTCGGCACTTATATGACTTATTTGCTTTACAAGAGCCGTAAAACCCTTACAAAATTTAAACTGAACTCTACTAACTCCTTTAATGTCTTGCACTCTTTTGACAGTATCTGTAACGAAAATGACGTAGACCTAAATCTCCGGCGTATGACCCATTTGTGTTGCAAAATGCCCAAAAATTCTTACTTGAACAAAAGTAAATTGTAGTAACACCTCTAATCCTCGGGACTTATATTACCTATTTGTGTCGCAAGTGCCGTAAACCTTTTACTAATACTAAACGTTAATAACACCTGCAATCTGTTGTGCTTTTACTTAACTATTTGAGTTGCAAGTGCTGTAAAACTCTTACTTAATGGATAGTTGGTCAGTACTCTGGTGTGGTTTGCTCCTTGTTTCCTATCAAACATCTGTCGTCCTTAAATCTCCTCCGTTCTGTGTCTGTTACTCTCTTGTAACACCCCTAATAGTCTCCACTTAAATGACCTTATTGTGTTGCTCTTACTAAAACAAACTAGACCCTAGTCTTTGGCACGTGTATGACCTATTTATGTTGCAAGTGCTGTAAAACTTTCACTTAACTAAACGGAACTAACCTAACGTTAGAGAGCTCTCATGGCCCAGCGAGAGGTTAAGGTGTTCGCCTCTCATTCAAAGGTCCCGGGTTCGAATCGGGGTAGCGACAGAAAAAATTTCTTATCTAAAATTGGCTCCTTGCACCTCCTTTCCTGCTCTCTAGCAATGTTTTGTCGTCTGCTTTCGTCTCAACTTTCTGCCCCCACCCCCTCACCCCCTTTGTCCCCTCCTCTGGCCTCCTGACTCTTTCTGCAGCCTTTTTACTGCTACTCCATGGTGCCTTCTTACTGCTGTCTTACTGCCACACCCCTGATCTTCTGGTAGGAAAGATCTACACCTAGCCTTCTCGGACAGTGGCAAAACATCTGGGAGGTCTCGTGTGCAAGTTGCGCACGTTAAAGACCCCTTGGTGGTCTAAAATCGATAAGAGTAGGCTTCGGCCGCCACCCGGGCGAAATTCAAGATTTCCTACCAACTAAAAAATAATGTTTAATATGTGCCGAGCGCTCACGTGACTTTATGCAGTTGTGAGCGCGTAAAGCACTTATTAAAAAATTAAAAAGAAACAAACGTATAAAACAACCTAACGTTGTCTTGTGTTCCTCAGAGCCAGCCTCCTGCTCCAAACAACCTGTGCCCATCCCGGGTATGCCTGGAGGCACGCTCGCCGGGGCGGGAAGGATAGGCAAGCAGATAGCAGACGAGTGCATGGAGCAGATCAGGTGAGAAGCTCACGTTGAATAACTATTATTTAGGAGGCAGGCTGCTTCTAAAAATGTTGTACACCGCTATCTTTTGAGAAGTCCACATTCAATCATTGTGCTGTAAGAACAGTGTATACCTCACATACTGAAAATGTTTTCCTTTGGAGACGGTCATTGAAATTTTGGCGGTGTGAAATCCTCAAAAGTCATAGAGGGTCAGGTGATTACAGCGTGCAAATATACCCCATTGTGGCGTCGGTGGCCGAGTAGTTAGGCTTTTGGAATCGCAACCGTAAAGTCGTGGGTTGGAATCCTGGAAAAGAAAGTGGCCTGAACGAGCAGTTTTAGGACTCCACCTGCCCTCTAATGTTGGGATCGTCGATAGACTTGTGTTATATAGTTGTCCAAGACTTTGCACTCTGGCGTTTTTCCAATTCACCATGGATAGTGCATTGTTTGCCTCAGTATTGTGGAACTGAATGATGGTCAAGTAGGGAAGGGTTGCGCGCGCACTGGACTACACCGAGCTAGGTGTTTGCCCTTCTTTGTGCGTCCATGGTGCGCACGTGCGCAGCCAGGTTTTTTTTTAGAGAGAACAAAGAGCGGTGGCTTTGACAGTGCCCAGTGAAGAACAATTTCAAGTCAGTGGGACCCGCAAAGTTCTCTTAACTTGTTCATGCACTGTAGAATTGTTAATGGGCTGATTCAACAATGTCATGCTCATAACTGTACCTGAACTGCAACAGGGACCTGCTGCTTTTCTTTCCTAATCCTTACTATCGTCATTTTCCTCTACTTCTTTTGTCTGTTTGTCACACTCTTGTGACCCGCTATTTCCGGAGTGCCTTGATAGTTAAAGCAGACTTTGTGCTGTTGAAGCTAGAGAGGTGAGCAGCGTAAGCCTGATTCCCCGTAAAGACTTCTCTGTTAACATCCACCCCTTTGCGTTCATATGACCTAATGTAGTTGCGATCGCCGTAGAACCTCGACTAAAACTAAACTAAAAGTTCTCTGACCTAACTGAGCTTTGCTTGGAGTCACAATTGTCGTTTGCACAGGTGATTGTCTTGGACGTGGTTGTTAGGTCAGGCTTGGCAGCACTGTAACTGTTGAACCAAATGTAACGGTTACCGGTACATTGACGTAGTTTGTTTTGTGTGTGTGGTTGGTTGTTGTTGTTGTTTGGTATTGTAATGACACTTTGTAAACCGATCACCAGTCTAATACGGACACTTTTTCCCTCGACGATGGATGACGTCTAAGACAGTTTTGACAGCACTTCCATAATCCCTGTACCAGATGATGACTTCCCACTTGGCTACTTTAGAATTACAAAGTTCTATCTGCAGTTTTTGGCCGTTTTGAGTTACTGAGACCATGGGGTCAGAAACCAAATGTTATTTTTGTGCTCTGTCAAAATCATTAGATTATTCGGAATCATTATCAAGATATTCAAAGAATTGCATACGAAAAAGCTTGACATGTTGGGAAACAAATTGTTTTACATCAAACTTCTCAAAGCAAGGTATTGGGCGGATAGAACTTTGCAATATTCTAAGGTGGCGACTTGGTAAAAGTTTTCTGGGTTTCATGCGTGGAATACCTAGATCTAATTTTTATCAGGATGTTTATACACTTTCTCCAGTCACACTTGTTTTTGTTGGGTGTATTTTGTTTGCTTGCTGTTGTTGTTTTTTTATATTGGCGTTGGGTTTGCTTTGTTTGGGGATTTTTCTGTTCTTTTTTTTCATCTTTCTTTGAAAGCTCAGACTAATTTCTGTTCACTTTTATCTTTGTCCTGGCAGCAAAAACCCGGCGTCAGCAGACAGTAGCAATCTTGGATCTCAGGGGACGAGCCGGGTAAGTCAGTTGTCCGGTCCCAGTCCTGGTCACCCAGTGGTCAGCGGACGGTGGCTAGGGCTGTGCTCAGTGTCGAAATGTGGTCACGTGGATATGTTTAAAAAAGAGAAGAAAAAAAATACAGTTTAAGTTATTACAGTTCCCAAATTTTAATATTATTGTGACATGTGTTATATTTATTGTGAGCCTTCATTTGTAGTGGTAATAATTATGATAATTATATTTCTAATAATGTAT